TCATCGTGCGTTGCGAACCCCAACATGTCGTCAACGTAAACGAGTATTATCATCAGATTGTCGTCATCCGCGCTGCCCTTCGAGAACAGGCAGTAGTCGGCTTCTCCTTGATAGAAGCCTTGACTCTCCAAAAGAGACGCAGGTTCCGTACCAGGATCTTGACGCTTGCTTTAGCCCGTAGAGTGCATTGCACAGACGCCATACGTGTTCATCAGCATTCTTGTAGCCTTCAGCTGGTTCCAGGTAGATCTCTTCGTCCAAGGCTGAGTTGAGGAACGCGGCCTTCACATCCAACTGCATGCGCTTCATGCGTCTCGCCACCACAATGACCAGCACAAGCCGAAGTGTGCTGTGGCGCACGACCGGGCTGAGCGTCTCAGTGTAGTCCACTCCGAACCGCTGGCTGTACCCCTTAGCGACGACACGTGCTTTGTACTTGTCCAAGCTGCCATCCGCAAGAGTTTTCTTTTTAACACCCATTTTGACTTCACAGCAGTGCGGTTTGGAGGCAATGGTACTTCTTCGAACGTCCCATTGTCCAGAAGACTCTGGATCGCGTCGTCCATTGCACGCTCCCACTCGCTTTGATCATCAGACGCGTCGACTTCTTCAATGTTGAGCGGCTCAACACCCAGAGCCCAATTCGTAATGTCACTTGGTGTTAGCTTGCTGTAGATGTAGCCGTCTCGAACACTCCTACCATCAACTGCTGCAGGGAAAACACGCTCTTCAACCATCGCGCAGACCTCCTCCATGGACAAGTGCGACTCGTCGTAGTCCAGCTTGCGCTGACTTAACCTCGGGATCCTGCTGGACTTGCGAACAGGTTTCTTTGCCTTCTCTAGAAGTGGATCACCTCGAAGCCGGGCTTGCATACGAGCGGCTCCCACTGGTTGAGAACTCCCACTCGTTGGTTGATCCGGTGTTTCCAAATTGCTGCTTACTGCGCTCGGTGTCGGCGCCATTGCCACGTCCTCCTCACCGGGTGTGGCCATGGACACATCTTGCTTTTCTTCTTCTACTGTCTCGAGACGTGATAAAAGCGTGCTGTTAACCGCATCCAACTGCAAGAGATCCAGCTGCGAGCTTATCGTGATCTCGTCTCCATCTTCGGCAGGAAGGAACTGGTCTTCGTAGAATACAACGGTGCGCGCCGTGATTGCTTCACCAGTCCCATGGTGCGGAATGTACACCAAGTACGCACCACCGGTAGCATACCCGATGAAGATGCCGTTGCGTGTCTTGGAGTCCAGCTTCTTACGGTGCTCCTTCGGAACCAGTGCTTGCGCCTTATATCCAAAGACTCTCAAGCTGCTGATGTCAGGAGCTTTCCCAAACAAGGCCTCCATCGGCGTCTTCCCATCAAGCACCTTCGTTGGACAGCGATTCCGCACATACCCAGCGCACACGACTGCGTCAGCCCAGTACACTGTTGGCAAGTTGGCTCCAAGCATCATGGACCGAGCCATCTCGACAATTACGCGATTGCCACGCTCGACCTTCCCATTCTGCTGTGGACTGTACGGAGTCGAGAACTCCTGTACAATGTCGTTCTTCTCACAATAGGCAGCAAACACACCACCTGTGTACTCTGCAGCGTTGTCTGACTTGACGAACGCCACACGATACGTCGGAGCATACGCCTTCATCTTCGCGATGCAGTCCTCGATAGCATCCAGTTGAGCTTGAGAGCTCTTCACACGAAGTGGATACACCATATCTAGATGAAATGGCTCCACAACAACGTTCGCCATACCAGTAAAACCTTCACGAGACGTCACCTGCATTGGCCCCACGTAGTCGATTGCGAGCAGGATCTGGTTTTTCTTGAGGACGCGCTTGTCCTTTGCGGCAAATGGCTTCTGTGACAGCTTGCCACTCACGCATGTTGGGCACGCTTGCTTCACAGCACCTTTCCATGGTATTCTCAGCTCTCCCAGTAGCTGTTGAACACTTTGCACATTTAAGTGTCCAAAGCGGCGATGCCACGTCTCCACATGAGGCGCTTCGCTCGTCATTGATCGCGACATCTTCGACGGGCTTTCTGGCAGCATCCAGCACGTACATTTGGTTGTGTGCTCTCGATGCTTGTATGGTCACTCCATTCGACGCGCGAATAGCGCAACCAGCTCCCTTAAACTCCACCGTCATCCCGCGACGCGATGCCGCCCCAACAGACACGAGGTTGCGGGCTAGTCCCTTCACAAATGGGACATCTTGGAGGACGCATACCTCTTTCCCGTTTTTGTACATTGGTGCTTGTCCCATGGCGGTTGCCATTAAGCTGTCACCGGACGCAACTGTGAGCACACGAGGCTCTGCCAGCTCACGCGCCCCCACCAAGTTGTCAGCATGTCCTGTCATGTGGCTCGTGGCCCCGCTGTCCACGATCCACTCTCGCTTGCACTCGTCGGTCACATCGTGGACCGAGAGCGCCACACTAGCGGCCTCGCCGCCCTTGCCCTTCGGTGGCACTCGCTCCTTCGAGCAGTCTCGCGCGAAGTGCCCCATTTCTTGGCAGCTGTAACACTTGACCTTGGTCATGTCACGTTTATTCTTCCCCTTCTTGCCAGCCACTTGTTCAGCAGAGAAGGCTCCATTCGATGCATTCGACTTACCACTGCCATTCGTCGAGCGACGATTCTTCTGCTGGTCTCGACGAATTGCCTCAGCTTGGCACCGCGTCACCATCGCCTCGAATGTCTGGCACATCTCGAGAACGCCGACAAAACCGTTCCACGCAGGTCCTAGACTCTGCATGAAGTTCTGGCGCTTCTCTTCGTCCGCCAAGTACACACGCTGCTCTTGGAGGTCCCCAATCACCCTCTTGGTGGTCTTGATGTGCTCCGTCATGGAGTCACCATCAGCGAGGTACAGACTCATGTACTCTCGTTTCGCAGCACCGACGCTGGTACTACACTTCACGTTGTAGGTCAGCCGCAGGTGGCGCAGCATGGCCAGCGGGTGATTAAACAGATACACCTCCGCTGCCAGTTTCTCCGTCAGCGCCGACAGAATGATCGATGACGCCATCTTCAGCCGCATGACTTGTTCATGTAGTGGTGTTCTCGGAGCCACCGTCCCGGACGTTCCAGCGGCGACAGCCGCATCGTACACCTTCAGCGCTTCAGCCTCCGCTGCAAGCCCGTCAGCCGGTGGCGCATCCTTCTCGACGTCAGCCCAGAGTCCCTTGATCTCGAGGACCAGCTTCACCTGGGCGCCCCACGCTGGGAACCCAGTACCGTTGAACTGCTTCAGCTTCGTCGCAAACGCCGTGGCCGTAGTTGCGGACGTCATAACCTGTCGGAAGTTGACACTTGGAGGAAGGAGGGTTGCGGAGAGGCGGAAAGGCGCTTGTACTCGTCGTGGTGTTTTGGAAAGTGATTGAGCTGGTGGGTCTTTAAAATGCAAAACTAACTGACACTACATGCAGACGGAGTCCCCTTTGACCGAGCCGCATGCCCAAGCCTTCTCATCGCTCACGTCGAAATACCCACGTCGCTCCCATTGATGTCGCTAGTGCTGGAGCCACTCTGTCGCCCGTGTTCATCGCACTGTGACCTGTGTCCACTTGACACAGTGGGCCAACGAGTAGTACGTACCAGATTCTCCCTGATGACACTAGATCTGTTCGTCGATGTCAACGACGTTGACGCTCCAACAGGAGTGAGGACAAAAAGTAGAGTGGTCTGGGCGGCCATAGTTAAGAGGAAATCTTGAGTGTAGAAGGAGAAGACGCCTGTGGTGAAGATGGTACAAGAAGAAGTGATGAATTAGAGAGTCTGGTGTTCTATAGACGGGTTATTCTCCACCAACCAGTTCAGTTGTATTTGATTTATCTTTATGAAATAACACAGCTATATTCCACTAGATAGTCACCATCACATCGGAGATGTTTACTTCAACAAATCTGTCCATGAATTTGCATAACCGGTGCTTTGAAGCATTAGGTTCTAAACAAGCTGTAGAGTTGCTGTGTGACAGCTGGGGGCTTTGGCATACCATCATGCTATGATGATCACGATGTGTAGCTGCGGTTTACACAGTTCGGTACATAACGGGATAATCCCGTGGCTCTTATTACCAGGCTGGTACGGGAAACGATAATCACAGAACCCCCAAACTTATTCACAGATCGCCCTTACTGAACCTAAGCTATTTATGAAGACTGCAAATCTTTAAATCAACTGGATAGATATCGAAATGGCGGGATTCCCGTTACCCCGGGTAAATCTACAGAACCGAAAGTGAGGTACAGTATCACCATGAATTTAGACGTGGCCTTGATATCTTTCACCGATACTCACATTAGCATTAATGTGAATTGACCCTCGCCTCAACTAAGCTCGCGCGAGTTAAACCAAATTGACCCTCGATTCAACTTAACTCGCGCAAGTAAACGTGAATCTTATAAATCCACATTAGTTGCTTACTATCAATTCTACTTAACTTTTCTTGCTACAAGACAGCCAATTCGTGGAATAGTGTCGCAGGTGCTTCTTTAGTGCCGCAATGCTTCTTCGGCATTCAGCTCAAACGCAGCCTTTCCCTGCTCAAAGTGAAGCTGTGCGTGTGTTTCAGGAGCAGTAGCAGTGTCTTATTGCGGTTCGCCATGCACATGTGTCAGACGATGCCGCACTGGGAGGGGGGGTAGATAATGAATAAAGCGAAATGCTGCAGAGCTTGCAGTAGTATACCGTTTTGATATCCTATTGTGAACACTGCGCACTCATTATTAACCCATGTTATAATGGGGCTGTTTTTGCACTGGTACTGTCCAATCATATGGGGTCCAATAAGGGCAATCTCTGAATAAGTTTGCCGGGAGACGATAATCACAGTGTAGTTTCGCTTTGAAACTGTACTTAAGTGTACGTATTTGCCAAAAAAAAACATTTGTAGAATACTGTAGCCTAACCATACGTCGTCTACCGTTCAGGCCTATTAATTAATTAATAAGAGGATGCTCTCTCAAGTCCTCCGAGTGCTCTATCGCTCTAATGTTAGCAGTACTCATGCTCCGCTGTACCCTCCTTCTTGTAGCTCTCGCTTTCTTCACTAACATGGTCACTAGCTCAGAGGCTACGGATGTCAAAATGCTGAGCGACAAATTCGATCTGCTTGTTACCGCTTCTGCTGATAATACTGGTAGTACCACGGCGAAGAGAGTGTTAAGGCAAGCCGTCAAAACATCTCAGAAGAGCGCCAACTATCCCAGCTACGAATCGGAGTCTGTTGCAGCGGAAGAACGAGGATGGTTTACCAAAGTTTTCGGTAGAATCGAAGATGCTTCGGAGTCAACCTTTGAAAAACTTTTGGGCAACAGTAAAGCGAAACTGAAAGCGTTCGAGAAACTGGAAAAAAAATACCGCGACGGAAGGCAGGGATATGTGGGTTTCGATGGCCCTAATTTGGATCTGCGAAGCTTCAAGTGGAAATTCTTCAAACAGTTTGGTGATTGGTACGATAGTAGACACTAGTCGTGCACTGAAGACATGGAGCCACCTCTTCCGTGCTCATAAGAGCTCTGTGGGATGATACTCACAAAAAGTGAAAGAATAGCAGGAAGAACAATGTTGCTTATCATTAAATGCATGCCACTCTTGTTGTCTACCACCAATGTTGGTGGTAGTGTTCATTGTCCCATGGAAAGACGTCCTTGCATTTTTGTACTAGCACTTCAGCTAAGAAAAACAATTATTGCAAAAACCCTAGCACGCCATTTCAAGTTAACCACTACCTCCACCCGTAAATTTTCGAATGCTAGCATCCAGTGTCGCCGGGTGCATTCAAGGAAACGGTTCTTTGTGGCTGAGCTTTATTTTTTGTCAAATAATAGTTTTAATTCCTAGCATTCTTCAAATATTTATCCAAATTTGTTACTACGGTCTGGCCCATGACAGATTTGATTTAACCTCTTTCTCCACATTTTGCCTTTCTTTTGGACTAAAACCTTGTTTAAATTCATGCCGCTATTCACTGCTGAAGAGTCTACAAATGTAAATAACTTATTATAGGCATTACAGTGTAGTAAATGGGGCCAGGCTAAAATTTGAAGTTGCGTCACAACGAAAACAAGAACGTGAATGTTGCTTGTGTCGTCCAGGGAAGACTTCAAAACCCATTCACCCAGATGATATTGCTTGAAGGGAAGCGTTTATATAAGAAGTGGTAGAGAATGACCCTAGAACTACTGGGTATAAAAGGAAAAAACAAGGAGTTCGGCCACGAACTTGCGAAACATAGCTACCGCCTTCGCAAGGCAAGCTACGCTTCCAGTAAACTCCAGAGTTTTTTGCGTGGCATTAGTTGATACGACGTTGTATTTTCAGCGTATCATTAATTTTAGTAGAGGTCGTGTCAAGAGAGAGCTTGAGGTTACTGATACTATGCTTTTTTTGCGAAAAGAAAAAAGTTCTTACTTTTGGAATATACCACAAGCACTAAATAATTACAGGCTGAATATGTCGGAAAGATCGATACTTTTATTTTGTAATTCGTCCAGTAACCGAGGTAAGAACCAGCGTTTTGACGTCGTCCCCCAAATCTCATACGACAAGTTCTGGACGGTTAATTGCGCACAACGCCTCATAACGGTCGGCGTAGCTGATAGCGTACCTCACAAACCAGCTCCCATCAACCTGTTCCTAAACTCCGCCTTGACATCCGAGACATTCTTGCCTTCGTCAGCCAACTTCTGAAAGCTGGGTTCGAGTTTTCTATTCACCCAGGCTTGGATCCTTGTTTCAAGGGTTTTCCATAGCCCCTTGAGTTTCTCAATACCTCCGCAAAGCCGTCGACATGGGGTGCGTATTGCATTATCAAGTCCTACTTATATTGCCAGCATTATCCTTTTGCTATACAGTATTAGGCGTAGTACCGGTGTGGTCAGTAAAGTCATCTGCTGTATCCCACCGAATACCGCTAAAGGTTGTGCTGTAGATACCCGCATGATGGTACTAAGACAGTAGCTAGTGCTGTATCTTCGTAGGAAGCAAAAAAAATATTTTTCGTGGTGGCTAGTAGACAGTAACTAAAGACGAGGCTCTGCTAATATCATGGCTGCTTGTGTGCCATCATATATAAGTAGCTAATTCGCAAACTGAAGCTGTCTCATGGATAATTTTTCTTAGCAAGCTGGATTAGCCTGAGAAGTTAATGGGTTTCGAGCTATCAAAATTATGCACTCAATACCGTTTCGCATTTGCTCCTCCGAGTGCATCTATTTATACTGCCAACATAGAACAAAGTCCATGTCATTTATAGGCAAAGCTGTCAGCACAAGCCCTCCATAATGTGAGCACTTTTAATAGTTTGATTCCATTTAAGTACGATATTCGACCTAAAATTGTTGTTTTTTTGTAAGAAAAATAGCAATCCTTTCCGCTGTCTATAAAGAGCATTCACTAACTTTCTGTCATGTCGATTTCAAACTCCCAACGACAATAAATCTCGCCTATCAGAATTCAAAAAGCAACTCCACGCACGAACATAGACTACAGTATATCAAGTCACCCCGTGCGCGCTCGCCCAAGCAGCCACGCTCCTCGCCAAAATTTGGCCCAAATGACCCGTCCTAGTAGGACATTTAAGCCAAATTTTGGCAAGGAGCGTAGGACTCCTCCGACCAGAAACAAAGCCTCGTCTGTCCCCCTCTTCATCATGCAGCAAAGTGCGCGACGACACGCTCCGTATCACAACGCAAATGCTGCGTGATGAGATCCGCCTACTCCTGGTGGACCGTAACACCCTCGAGAAGAGCAAATCCGCGCTTTCCCAGCGACTGGCCCACACCCAGGTTGGGTGACCCAGCGTAACCTACGACACTTGAGAGACGAATTGGCGCGTCTGTACCGCCAGGAGCAGAAGGATATGGACACACAGTGACTCGCTGGCAGCGACTCGAGCTCGAGCAAACGACGTTTTTACATGATTATGGTGCTCATAATCATGTATGGTGGTCATACATAATCACGTTTACTGTAAAGCATCTAACCACTATCTCGGTCGACTGCTCAAATAGAGCAAATTGAGCTGCCAGGCGAGATAAAATATAGAGATGTCCATTAATTGAGCCTCGATTTGTGGCTCAACGTATTGTTTGTGCCGTTTGTAACGCAGCAACGTGCAGTTTAGAAAATATGCACTTGGTTGATTGGTCAAAGCATCGTTTGAAACGCAGTAACGTGCAGTTCGTGTTTCTAAGTAGATCAAAATCAAATGACCGTTTATGTCATCTATATAGTCTCTTCAATGTCCATAACTAATAAGGCTGGTTGTGTCGTACTTGTCTTATTTTAGGCTACAGCTGACTAGACACCGGCTGTCAAAACCAAACCACATTGTTAAGTACTTCTGGTCGCTTTTCGGTGGCACGGTAACCCATTAACCTCCGGCATATTCAATCCTAGTATCGCTCAAACAGGGATTTATTTAGAGACCGTTTACTAGCTGATGCCTTCAGTTCCTACACCAACCGAACAGCCACTTCAAAATACTAACTTTACAGTGAATTACCTGTTACTGAATAAATTCTAGGCAGGCCTCGGTCCATGCCAACGTCAATGTAATGCCGCGAAGGCCTTGTTCACGAAGTGACTAGTAGGTATACAATAATTACATATATTCCGGGACTTGGTGCTTCAAGGTCTGGATACGAGCTTAATAACTCAGAGACGGTGTTTTATTTAGTGAAATCGGAGTACTTTTCTAAATTATGGCGATTTCTCTCAAATGTGGAAACTCAAAGGATTGATCCTTGGTGGAGTTTGAATGGAGTTTGTGTGTTTGTGTCGAACGGTGACTTTACACATTATATCCATATCTTGATGCAATCACAAGCAACTTGTAACTATACCCTATTTAAACTCATCCTACTCCATATGGCTCAGACGATCAGGCGATAGAGGAGTAAACCTGCAGAGTGTGGCCCTTGAACACATTCCACAGTCATCGCACACACGATTTTGACCCGAACAGGACAAGTGCAACTTAGAATCAATCATGCGTGGAATTCACTTTTTCCTCCTGGCGCTGGCAAGTTACAGCGCGATTGCAAGCGCTGATCAAACCGTCGAGACTTCAAGCTTGGTGAATCAATCGCCTTACGAACGCGTAAACGAAGGCCACCGCTATCTTAAAGAAAGTACTGAGCTGGGTGGCAAGGGCGAAGAGAGGGCGATCACGACTTCCCAGCTTGGCCAATTTTCGGCTTTATTCAAGACCCCAAAGTTCGCAAACCTTCCGTTGATTAAGCAGCTTAACACCGTCCGTCTCAAACTCGGTAACAAGGCAGGCAAGGCGTTTTTGGCTTTTGTGAAAAAGCGCAGCAATGGTAACATGAACAACTTTTATGTAGACAGTAGGGTTTGTGAGGGAAACAAAACGAGGAGGAAACGCAACATTCGATTCGACTTTTGTTTAAGTGCCCACGCCTTATCCTGCAATCAATTTGTAATATTAGGGAGTTGAGCTGGTAGTGCTTTTATATGGAAATCATGATAATATCATCATAAACAAAAAAAATTAAATCTTAGCGCCTTTTTTTTACTTTTTGGTGATAAAAACCACTACAGTAGACCTTTCATATACTAATATAATAGTTTTTAAAGCTAGAACAAGAAAGTTAATTAGGTCAAGATTAAAAAATGTGAAAGTACAGCTCTACTAATCGAGTACATTTTTATACAGGTATGCCATAAAGCAAGACACCGTTATTAATAGCAGCACAGTTATCCTCAAGAAATTATAAGTTTCTTACTTGTTTCTTACTTATATTAGCAAGGTAATGGTACTATGCAATTTGCACAGGGGTTGGCGCTACACTAGTACATGTACTGGGTAATTCGGCAGCAGGAACGAGGTGGAGGAGTGGGGTTATGTCTGACGGTTTCCATGTTTGCGTCGCAAAATGAGTGCAAAAAAGTGTCTCCAATAGGAGGCGATCTTTAAGCGTAAGTCGACCGTCCTACGAATCAGGTCTCACTTAATCCATTCTGGGCCATTTCATACTTAAGCCTAGATGTCTTACCAATTATCAATTCTTTTGAAAAACTAGGTTGTCCGTCGTACGCTGGCTCACAAAAGGACAGATGGTCTTACTAAAGCAGTTGACATGTGAGCACTTTTAATAGTTAAAATCCAACTAAGTACGATATTTGATCTAAAAATGTCGTGTTTTATGTAAGAAAAAAGCAATACTTTCCGCTGTTTCTAAAAAGAGCATTCACTAACTTTCTGTCATGTCGATATCATAACGCCCGAAAAGACAATAAATCTCGCCTATCAGAATTTAAAAAGCAACTCCACGCACGAACATAGAGTACAGTATATCAAGTCACCCCGTGCGCGCTCGCCCAAGCAGTCCCGCTCCTCGCCAAAATTTGGCCCAAATGACCCTTCCAACGACCAGAAACAAAGCCTCGTCTGTCCTCCTCTTCATCATGCCGCCTACTCGGGACACAGCAAAGCCGCGCTTTCCCAGTGACTGGCCCACACCCAGGTTGGGTGACCCAGCGTAACCTACGACACTTGAGAGACGAATTGGCGCGTCTGTACCGCCAGGAGCAGAAGGATATGGACACACAGTGACTCGCTGGCAGCGACTCGAGCTCGAGCAAACGACGTTTTTTACATGATTATGGTGCTCATAATCATGTATGGTGGTCATACATAATCACGTTTACTGTAAAGCATCTAACCACTATCTCGGTCGACTGCTCAAATAGAGCAAATTGAGCTGCCAGGCGAGATAAAATATAGAGATGTCCATTAATTGAGCCTCGATTTGTGGCTCAAAGTATTGTTTGTGCCGTTTGTAACGCAGCAACGTGCAGTTTAGAAAATATGCACTTGGTTGATTGGTCAAAGCATCGTTTGAAACGCAGCAACGTGCAGTTCATGTTTCTAAGTAGATCAAAATCAAATGGCCGTTTATGTCATCTATATGGTCTCTTCAATGTCCATAACTAATAAGGCTGGTTGTGTGTTGTACTTCGTACTTGTCTTTTTTTAGGCTACAGCTGACTAGACACCGGCTGTCAAAAGCAAACCACATTGTTAAGTACTTCTGGTCGCTTTTCGCTAGCACTGTAACCCATTAACCTCCGGCGTATTCAATCCTAGTATCGCTCAAACAGGGATTTATTTAGAGACCGTTTACTAGCTGATGCCTTCAGTTCCTACACCAACCGAACAGCTACTTCAAAATACTAACTTTACAGTGAAGTACCTGTTACTGAATAAATTCTAGGCTGGCCTCGGTCCATGCCAACGTCAATGTAATGCCGCGAAGGCCTTGTTCACGAAGTGACTTGGTGCTTCAAGGTCTGGATATGAGCTTAATAACTCAGAGACGGTGTTTTTTTTTAGTGAATCGGAGTACTTTTCTAAATTATGGCGATTCTCTCAAATGTGGAAACTCAAAGGATTGATCCTTGGTGGAGTTTGAATGGAGTTTGTGTGTTTGTGTCGAACGGTGACTTTACACATTATATCCACATCTTGATGCAATCACAAGCAACTTGTAACTATACCCTATTTAAACTCATCCTACTCCATATGGCTCAGACGATCAGGCGATAGAGGAGTAAACCTGCAGAGTGTGGCCCTTGAGCACATTCCACAGTCATCGCACACACGATTTTGACCCGAACAGGACAAGTGCAACTTAGAATCAATCATGCGTGGAATTCACTTTTTCCTCCTGGCGCTGGCAAGTTACAGCGCGATTGCAAGCGCTGATCAAACCGTCGAGACTTCAAGCTTGGTGAATCAATCGCCTTACGAGCGCGTAAACGAAGGCCACCGCTATCTTAAAGGAAGTTTTGAGCTGGGTGGCAAGGGCGAAGAGAGGGCGATCACGACTTCCCAGCTTGGCCAATTTTCGGCTTTATTCAAGACCCCAAAGTTCGCGAACCTTCCGTTGATTAAGCAGCTCAACACCGTCCGTCTCAAACTCGGTAACAAGGCAGGCAAGGCGTTTTTGGCTTTTGTGAAAAAGCGCAACAATGGTAACATGAACAACTTTATGTAGACAGTAGGGTTTGTGAGGGAAACAAAACGAGGAGGAAACACAACATTCGATTCGACTTTTGTTTAAGTGCCCACGCCTTATCCTGCAATCAATTTGTAATATTAGGGAGTTGAGCTGGTAGTGCTTTTATATGGAAATCATGATAATATCATCATAAACAAAAAAAATTAAATCTTAGCGCCTTTTTTTTACTTTTTCGTGATAAAAACGACTGCAGTAGACCTTTCATATACTAATATAATAGTTTTTAAAGCTAGAACAAGAAAGTTAATTAGGTCAAGATTAAAAAATGTGAAAGTACAGCTCTACTAATCGAGTACATTTTTATACAGGTATGCCATAAAGCAAGACACCGTTATTAATAGCAGCACAGTTATCCTCAAGAAATTATAAGTTTCTTACTTGTTTCTTACTTATATTAGCAAGGTAATGGTACTATGCAATTTGCACAGGGGTTGGCGCTACACTAGTACATGTACTGGGTAATTCGGCAGCAGGAACGAGGTGGAGGAGTGGGGTTATGTCTGACGGTTTCCATGTTTACGTCGCAAAATGAGTGCAAAAAAGTGTCTCCAACAGGAGGCGATCTTTAAGCGTAAGTCGACCGTCCTACGAATCAGGTCTCACTTAATCCATTCTGGGCCATTTCATACTTAAGCCTAGATGTCTTACCAATTATCAATTCTTTTGAAAAACTAGGTTGTCCGTCGTACGCTGGCTCACAAAAGGACAGATGGTCTTACTAAAGCAGTTGACATGTGAGCACTTTTAATAGTTAAAATCCAACTAAGTACGATATTTTGACGTAAAAATGTTGTTTTATGTAAGAAAAAAGCAATACTTTCCGCTGTTTCTAAAATGAGCATTAACTAACTTTCTGTCATGTCGATATCATAACGCCCGAAAAGACAATAAATCTCGCCTGTCAGAATTTAAAAAGCAACTCCACGCACGAACATAGAGTACAGTATATCAAGTCACCCCGTGCGCGCTCGCCCAAGCAGTCCCGCTCCTCGCCAAAATTTGGCCCAAATGACCCTTCCAACGACCAGAAACAAAGCCTCGTCTGTCCCCCTCTTCATCATGCAACAAAGTGCGCGACGACACGCTCCGTATCGCAACGCAAATGCTGCGTGATGAGAGCCGCCTACTCCTGGTGGACCGTAACACCCTCGAGAAGAGCAAAGCCGCGCTTTCCCAGCGACTGGCCCACACCCAGGTTGGGTGACCCAGCGTAACCTACGACACTTGAGAGACGAATTGGCGCGTCTGTACCGCCAGGAGCAGAAGGATATGGACACATAGTGACTCGCTGGCAGCGACTCGAGCTCGAGCAAACGACGTTTTTACATGATTATGGTGCTCATAATCATGTATGGTGCTCATACATAATCACGTTTACTGTAAAGCATCTAACCACTATCTCGGTCGACTGCTCAAATAGAGCAAATTGAGCTGCCAGGCGAGATAATATATAGAGATGTCCATTAATTGAGCCTCGATTTGTGGCTCAAAGTATTGTTTGTGCCGTTTGTAACGCAGCAACGTGCAGTTTAGAAAATATGCACTTGGTTGATTGGTCAAAGCATCGTTTGAAACGCAGCAACGTGCAGTTCGTGTTTCTAAGTAGATCAAAATCAAATGACCGTTTATGTCATCTATATGGTCTCTTCAATGTCCATAACTAATAAGGCTGGTTGTGTGTTGTACTTCGTACTTGTCTTTTTTTAGGCTACAGCTGACTAGACACCGGCTGTCAAAAGCAAACCACATTGTTAAGTACTTCTGGTCGCTTTTCGGTAGCACTGTAACCCATTAACCTCCGGCGTATTCAATCCTAGTATCGCTCAAACAGGGATTTATTTAGAGACCGTTTACTAGCTGATGCCTTCAGTTCCTACACCAACCGAACAGCTACTTCAAAATACTAACTTTACAGTGAAGTACCTGTTACTGAATAAATTCTAGGCTGGCCTCGGTCCATGCCAACGTCAATGTAATGCCGCGAAGGCCTTGTTCACGAAGTGACTTGGTGCTTCAAGGTCTGGATATGAGCTTAATAACTCAGAGACGGTGTTTTTTTTTAGTGAATCGGAGTACTTTTCTAAATTATGGCGATTTCTCTCAAATGTGGAAACTCAAAGGATTGATCCTTGGTGGAGTTTGAATGGAGTTTGTGTGTTTGTGTCGAACGGTGACTTTACACATTATATCCACATCTTGATGCAATCACAAGCAACTTGTAACTATACCCTATTTAAACTCATCCTACTCCATATGGCTCAGACGATCAGGCGATAGAGGAGTAAACCTGCAGAGTGTGGCCCTTGAACACATTCCACAGTCATCGCACACACGATTTTGACCCGAACAGGACAAGTGCAACTTAGAATCAATCATGCGTGGAATTCACTTTTTCCTCCTGGCGCTGGCAAGT